GACAAATCTACGCACACCCTTTATTTGATTCTCCTTCGAACGACGACGTAGGTGAAGTTGGCAGCGCAGGAAGAAATAAACGCGAAACTCTCGGAGGAGAGCAAGCTGCTGTCGGAAGAGGTGCAGATGCTGAAGGACGAACAGGAAGACGACAAGGAACGACAGAGCGAACTTCAAAAACGACTCAACAAGGCCGTTGCTGACGTGACCACCTGGCAACAAAAATGCCAGAATAATGAATGTTAGACAATGGATGGATGGATGCATGGATGGATGCATGGATGGATGCATGAAAAAATGCGAAACAACTCCGAATCATCCATACGCCTTTTTTGCAGCTCTTGTTCACCCTGACGAAGTTGAAGAACTAAAAAAAAAATTCGTTCAAAAGTTGCAAGAATCAGAAGCAAAAGTGGACGCAACGATAGCAAAGATGGTGGCCCTTGATAAGGTCAGAGGTCAAATTCAAGCCGACAATGAAGTTCTCAAAGAAGAAATTGAAAAGGTTCTTTTTTAGTTTTTTTTTCATTAATTTCTTTTTAGACACACACCTCAACTTACACCTTATAACTTACATCTTCCACCAGTTACAAAGCGACATCTTGCTGCACGAGAAGAAACACAAACAGTACGAGAAGATCATCGATGAATGGAAGAAGAAGGTTGATGATGCGCGCAACGAGATTGAAGACGTTAATAAAGATGCTAGGTCTGGCGGTTGGAGGATGGGGTGTAGCTCGTTGTGGTGTGGCTCGTTGTGGTGTTGCTCAGTGTGGTGTGGCTTGTTGTGGCGTGGCCTTGTGTGGTGTGGCTCGTTGTGGTGTGGCTTGGTTTGGCGTCGTTTAGTGGCTGTTGTTGTGTCGCACGGTAGATAGTTTGATTGCCTGTTTGATTTGTATGCATTTATTTGTTCACAAATTTTGATAAGATTGTAAAATTTCTGACTTCCAGACTGGGAGCAGAGGCAACTGCAAAAGTTCAACAGCAGTTGGAAGAAGCAAGAGAGCTGGTTGAGAGGTTGAAGAGAGAAAACAAAAACGTTAACAGTGAGTTATAAATTTACTTTTTATAATTCGTGCGTTTGATACAATTTTCTATAAATTATTTTCTTGTTTGAATGTTTTTTATTTGTATACAAATAAAAAATTTAAACAAATTCACAGATTTACAAACGAATCAATCACACAACTAATCATCTAACCAATCAATCACGAATTTAACCATCCAATCAATCAATCGCACAACCAACCATCCAACCAATCAGTGGAGATAAACGACATAACTCAGCAAATGGAGCACGCAGCACAGAGAGCCGCAGACTTGGAGAAGGTTGTCAAAAAACTGGACGCTGAGAAGGAGGAACTTCTCAACACTGTCAACGATAAAGACCTTGCCCTTCAAAAAGAGGTCGCCAAAGTTCAAAGGTCAATCTCGGTTATGTTGAAAATGACTTTGATACGTGATAGTCATGATATTATGATGATAATAATTATGTCATACTGAAGGTCTTCATAAGTTTTATCACGATATACTCATCACGATGCTAAAAAAATTTACATAATCATCGTCATCATCATCGTCGTCATCATCGTCGTCGTCAGAGCTCAGCAGGAAGTAGCAGCAGCCAGAGATGAGATGGAAAGAAGGATGGCTGATAAGGAGGAAGAAATTGATTCAATCAGGTTTTCGTTTCATTCATTAATTCGTCTCTTCATTTATTCATTATTCCATTCTTTGATAAGAGATTATAAATGTTGCGAATGATGGAAAAAATAATGGTGACGATGAAAACTGAGATAGTACAATTACGATTGTGACTACCTATAAATAATACCACCATTCACCACCATTTCATCTCATTCGTCACCATAAGACAGCCACGTAACCTCATATCACCTACATTGACATCCTCACTATCACCACACCACACCACCACCCCACCACCACCACAGGAAGAGCAACAACAAAGCCCTGGCCAATCTTCAACTCTCCCTCGACTCCGAGGCAAAGAACAAACTCGAGAACATTAAAATTAAAAAGGAGTTGGAACAAAAAATTAGTGACCTCGAACTTGAAATTGACAAGTTAAACAAGTCTAGAGGCGACAATGAGAAGATACACAGGAAGTACCAGCAACAACTTGTTGACCTTCAAGTCATTTTTCGTTTTTTTCTTAAATATTTTCTAGCTTATACATCGTTCTATATTTGTAGTTAATGTACCATAAACAACTGAAAAATACCACAAAAAACAATACCAGGCCCTATTCGAAGATGAGGAACAAGTACGGAAAAAAGCGGAAGAAGAACTGTTGGCCCAAATTCAAAAAAGTGATGCCCTCAAAGATGAAGTAGATGTGCTGAGACTGCAAGTTGAATCGTTGGACAGGAATAGAAGAATGTTGGAAGGTTGGTTGGTTAGTTGGTTGGTTAGTTGGTTGGTTGGTTGGTTGGTTTGTTAATTGGTTGGTTGGTTGGTTGGTTGGTTGGCTGGTTGGTTGGTTGGTTGGTTGGTTGGTTGATTGGCTGGTTGGTTGGTTTTTTTATCTGTTGGCATGACATCACATTTTATTACCATGAAATATTTTTTGAAGTATTGTCTATTAATATTATTTACTGTATTTGTCATAATTTGGTTTTCCAAGCAAAACATTTCAAAAATTATAGAATAAAGAGTCAGAATTTTTTTTCCTATGACAACCAGGTGAGTTGAAAGATTCAACAAGCAAGATAACAGAGCTGAACCTCAACAACGTCAACCTGATTGCACTGAAGAAAAAACTTGAGAACAGCTTCCAAATGTCCAGAGTTCGTTGACTTTCACGTCACTCATGCTGCATCATCATCGTCTTTCCACGTTGTCATCATGATGCCATTTCAACATCGTCGTTGTTGGTCGCAATCATTGTTTTCTTTATAATCATTTTCATCATCCTCATCATCAACACCGTCCTCATCATCAACACTATCACCACCATATTCACCGTCAACACCATCATCATCTTCATCATTTTCACCACCAACACCATCACCGTCTTCACCATCAGTCCGACAGCGAAGACCACCAGATGACGGTGAAAAGATTGGAGGAAGCGATAAAGAAATGCATGGCGGAGAACGCCCAACTGTCCGACGAAGTCAAGAAGGAGATTGTCCGAGCCAACGAGGCAGAGAAGGCAAAAAGAATTTTAGATTTGCAAAACAAAGATCTACTTGTAAGTCTATCTTTTTGTCTTTTTTTGTTTATAAATGTTTGTGTTTCTACAAATACATTTAATCTACTTCTGAGTAGGACAAGTGCTCGTCCAATAATGCTGGCTTGAAATCGTTTATTCAATTTTTCAACCGAATTAAATTATTAATTGTTTGTTATACCGTTTGGGAGACTTCATGACTGTCAACCAACCTCCCAACATCAACCTCATGTTAAACAGGCGAGATTGGAAACAACGGAGCAGATGACGATCGCAGGCGGCAAAGCGGCGTGGGCTCGTTTGGAACAACGCGTTGCCGATTTGGAAGCAGAGCTGGAATCTGAAAGGCAGAAGGTTGCGGAGAAAGACAAACAAAGCAGGAAGCACGAGAGGAAGGCTCAGGACTTGGAACTTCATGCAGAGGAGCAGCAGAGAAGCCATCTGAGACTCAATGATCTCATCGATAAGATGCAAATCAAGATCAAAGCTTATAAGAAGCAGTTGGATGACGCAGTCAGTTTGCTTGCTCTTTCTTTTTTTAAATTCACGTTAATCTATAAAGCCGTTGTTACATGCTTTTTTTTACTAAAAATTGTTTGCTATTAAATCTCAGTCGAAAAAAAATTGGTGATGTCGGCAACTTCAATATTTTGAAAATAAAATCGCTTCATTATCATCACTCGACCTGTCAGGAACAAGTGTCAGAACTGAACTTAGCCAAATACCGCAAGATGCAGAATGACCTTGAGGAAGCCGAAACGAGGGCCGGCATAGCTGAGAAGGTCATCGAACAGCTGAGGTCCAGAGCTGTTGCATCTGTCGCCAGTGCCGATGAGGAAGTTTCGGTGCGTTTATGGAAATGTTCTTTCAAAAATAATTTTCTTTTAAAATTATTATTCGACTTGCTGGCGGATACGATATTGTAAATTTGAAACACAACTTGAGGAGGATGAGATGATTGTTTAGATTTTTATTAAAATATTTTTCTAGCTGCCTAGCCTGAAAAAGGTCATCAGGAGAAAGGTGATTGAAGTGGAAGAATAAATTACGTCCTCACCGTTATCGTCACCATCGTCATGTTTCCAAAATATTTTAATTTTTCTAGAGCATCATTTAGAGAGATGATGCGCGCGCGTTGAATACACGTTCAAGTCTGACCTAGTGCCTTCGTTCTTGTTTTGCTTAATTTCGAAACTTATCAATTTCTGTATGCCATGATTCGATCTGTAGAAATTAATTACTTATTTGATTAAACATATATTTATAAATATTTGTTTATTTATTTATTTACTTATTTAATTGTTCACAATTGGACTTAAATAAACAAGTTAATAATCAAAGTCTGGCGATTAATTGTGAGACTATTTCAGTTTAACAATTTGCTTTCTAAATCGTTCAAAGTCAGACATCGGCACGGAAGAGAAATTCGCCTGCCTACATAACCATGAAAAAGAAACAAAAAATGAAAACTTTTATTTGAAAAATTTATTTGATGAAATGTCAAATCATTTTTACTTGAGATTTCAATATGTAAAATACGAACCTAACTTGCAAATGTGCGTGTAATATTATACAAACAAACTTCAGACTGTACTAACGTGCTTAAAAATTCATTCGTTGATAAAAAAAAAGTAAAAACACACGTGCAAACACGCATACAAAGACAGACAAACGTACATACAAAAGTATGCAAACGTACACACAAAGGCATACCAACACACAAAAACAAACATACTCATACGAACGTACATACAATACAAACTGATACAAACATATATAGACTACAAAAAGGCTACATGCAAAAATATCAAACGCGCATCTGTTCATCTAGCAATGTCAGTATGTAATCATCGTAATATATCCCATTTTTATCCTGGTTTACCGCTACCGAAAACATCTCATCCACTTCCTCTAATGAAAATGGTTCTCCTAGCGATAAAGATGATGATGACGACGACGAATATGATGATGATGATGATGATGATAATGGTGATGATGATAATAATGGTGAAAATCGTTGACGATTAGAATGAAACGACGATGGTAACAAATTCATTAATTAATCACTCCATCTCAACTCAACACGAACCTTCTTCCATCAGCAATTTCTTCATAACATCAGGATCAATGAATCCTTTATTCTCAGCGTCGATTATTTTAAATGCGTTCGAGAGCATTCTTTTGGAGGCGGGTCTGTACCTTGTAAGAATAATTTCCACGTGTATGTTGTGCTTTCATTTTTTTCAAATTTAAAGAATAAAACCTTTTTTCAATCAGTACTTTAACCATAAAAGTGATAAACTTATCTTTCTTAATGGATCCTGGAACATCTTCATCTTCAACCTGTCAGTTAAATTACGAAACTTCAATAGCAAACGGATTAACGTTGTAAAAAAAAATAAGCTGAGTAACGTGAACATTTAGCCAGAAATACATACAAAATTGGCTCGATAAATAATTAAAATTTAAATAATTCGAAATGGAATTGACTTCTCTGAAAATCTCATGGAGGTCGGCCTCGCTTGGGTAGCAGCCCAGCGAGCGAACCAACGTTCCTATTTCTCTGATTAATTATTAAAAATTCCATTAATTAATTATTAATAATATTAAATTCTATTAATTTAGTTTTGATACAAATTAAAATTGAGAGTTAATAATCGATATGTATTGAAAATTAATTAAAATTATGTGGTAATATCTTACTTGATGCTCACGGATTCAGATGATTCAGGAGTGAAAATTTTATAAGCATCTGATATTCTCTTCTTTATTTCGAACACTTTAATCTCTGCAAAGGCAAAACATCATCAAACAAAAAGATTCATTCGAATTTGAAAAAGAAAATAACCAAAATCTACCTACCAGATGTTTCATTAATCCTGTCCGTTATGACATCGGCCATTGTTTACAGAAGCTACTACGAAAGCTATCACCATGCCAACATTTTGAAACAATTTTCCTTATCATGGCTATTAATTCTCTCTCCTCTCTCTCTCTCTCTCTCACTATCTAGATATATATATATATATCCATATAATTATTTAATTGGTTTGTTCTATACATATACGTTAATGACCATTGAAATATTGAAAAAAAATAATAACGACACTGAATTGAATGATTGAATGTGAATTTTCATGATTAGCAGGGCAGCCAGAAGAATTTTATTTTAAATATCTATTTAGTTACGTAATGGAGAGTTCGATCTTGGAACTTTTTATTAAAAAATATGTATAAAAATATGTCTAAAAACGTTATCACACATCATAAGCAGGATTGTTTTATAAAATTTTAATTTTTTCGTATGTTTTATACATGATTGTCCTACCTAAAAGAAAGAAAAATAAAGTTCTCAGAAAATAACGGCAAAATAATGATTGTATAAAATTTCTTGAACTTCAATACTTTTGCTTCAACGTGTGATTTCTTAAAAAACAATCATCTTCTCTTATTTGTCAAACTGGCTGTACTGGGATGCCTACCTGTAAAACAAAATGAAACCACAAAATGTTAAAGAATCTCTCAATCTTCAAATACAGTGAAATATATGCCTTTGTGTTTTAGGTTTATTAATTAAGGTATACGTATATAATACACCGCCCATTCAACTGTTCTGTAAAAAATTAGGACAGGTTAAAGCATTGGCAAGCCAAACCGACATACGAAAAACCGAAAAACAAATGTAACTGCATGATACGAACACTACTAATCTATTCAAATGTGTAAAATATGTAGTTAACGAATTAATAATTGAATAAATTTAAATTAAATGATAATGTGAAATACGATTTACAAGACAAACTTAAATTAGCTCGGGAAGATGACCTCGACATTGATTTGCTATCTGGTGGTGATATAGATGAATACATACATACATACATACATATCCGCAATATTAATAAAGAAATAGTACAATAAATTTTTTTATTTTTTACCACGCAGTTTTTGTTTAACAAAATGGCAATGAGTTGAAAGAATTTAATAAAGCTTATACCTCGTTTGTTCGGTGCGACCACATCTTGAATGGTTACAATAACCGAATTGATCTTACCATTGGGTGTGTTCAGTCTAGACGGCTGTCTGGATCCGTTCCTAGACGATGTCGTAGAACCGGCGGGAGAAAGAATTTGCGACGACCTCAGACTCAATAAGGTTGACGACCTCGCGTTCGTCACTGAACTGTGAGTCTTTGGTTCGTTTATTATAATGTTAGCCTGGATGGGGGTTCCAGAAAATGTGTTTACGATGTAATAAATCCTAATAAAAATGGGGAAAAAAAGATGTGCTTGTAACGAAATTTAATTTGTGTGGTCAGTTTTATCTAGGGGTAGTTACAACTAGCACTCTTTTTGAAGCTAACGTTGTTAACACGGCTCGTATTCATTTCTTTTTCTTTCTGACTGTCTGACCGAACACGAAGAATAAACACAAAAAACATGATTAAGACTAATGAACATAACGAAGATGAACATAACGAAGATGATCACGGTGAACAAATGAACGAACAAACTTCGTTAAAATATTGTTGTGCGGTTGAAACTAGTTGAGGTTGTTGTTGGAAGAGGTTGTTGATCTCGTGCATCACCATCTTCTCTAACAACTGCATTTCCTTCAAATCCATCGTCACCTACATAATTTCCAGCCAAATTTTTACCATAATGTTATAATGATAACATCATTGATAATTACCGTTTATTAAAATATTTTGAGTATAATAAAACGTCACATCTTCGAGAAACTCACTTCAAAAGTAGGATCGTTCTTCTTATGAGTTGATGAATCTTTTAAAAATTTTGAGGACTGCGAGAACAACGTGGTCATTATAAAGCATAGTTAACATTCAAATGACTAAAAATAGGTGCTATAACATTTGTCAATCACGTCATAATATGTAATTATAATCGGCAACGTAATTTGTAAACGATAAACGATGACGAACCATTTTGGCGACTCGGTCAAGTTTCGTTTGCTGATCCATTTGATCTTTTTTGAGTTTCATCAGTTCTTGCTGATAGGATAGTGATAAAAGATAATGATGGTGGCATGATTAATCACAATCTCATTTTATGTGATAAAATCGTCTTAAAATTATATAACAAATAATGTTATTTGTAATTAAAGAAATCACCTGCTTGGCGTGGACAATCATCTCCAAATAATTTCCTTCCTCTTCCAATGAACCTATTTTCTCCATCATTCTCTGTCAACAAAGGTTTGAAACTAGACAGACAGACAGACGGACGGACAGGCAGACAGATAAACAGAGAGGCAGACAGACAGACAGGCCGAAAAAAGAGAGACAGACAAAGATGGAAAACCAATAACAACTTCAACGACATCAACATCCACTTTCATGATCTTAACATCAACAGCCACGTACATTGACATCAGTCTTGAAGGCCTGAACTTTATTCTTACTGAATCTCATTTCTTCTGAGACAATCCTCAATTGATCGTCTAACTCCAATTTCTCGGGATCGTCTGTTAACCATCAAGACAATCAAACATAATTATTAATAACTTCATAATTTTGTTAGGGTGTATATGTTCACAAAACTCGTCTTAAGAAAAATCCCACCTTGGTTGGAGCCCCTACAGAGTAAGTTTCTCTGAACATCGTTCCTACCAGCCACCAATCTGATGGTGTTTTCAAAGGCTTTCAACTCTCTCTCTTTTATTCTTATCTCATCATTCAATCTATCACCTCTCTCTTTTAATTCCTCCTTCTCTTGCACAGACTGAAAACAAAAATCATTATGGTGATGGTGGAGATTATGGTGATATTATAATCATCATCATATGGTGATGTGTAGTATAAAGATGAAAGATTTTTAAACCTTTTTGCATTGTTCACAAACAAGTATAAGTTAAAAAAGGTTAAAAATCAATCACAATAAAAAAACATCTAGTGACATTTATAAAAACCAAATAGAAAACAACTAGACACGTAAACCTTGACGATGTAGCTGATGACAGAATCCTCCCCATCTGGTGGTGCCATCTTCATGACGAAAATCTCGTACCTGCGTTGTTTCGTTCACAATATAAACAGTCAGTTTATGAGTTAGTTAATCCAATTTTTGATAAATTAATTAGTTAATTTTGTAAAATTCAAAAAACGTAAAATAATAAATCTACCGAATGACAAAGTTCTTGAATTTTTACAAAATTTATAAATAGGTATGAATGTATAAGAATGGTGATCACTAATAATAAATCAGATGATTACGATTGTTATCAAATTGTAATTGTTGCAACACCCTTGTTTTATCAATCATACGCCACGCTATTGTACACATTTTCATACGCCACGCTATTGTACACATTTTCATACGCCACGCTATTGTACACATTTTCATACGCCACGCTATTGTACACATTTTCATACGCCACGCTATTGTACACATTTTCATACGCCACGCTATTGTACACATTTTCATACGCCACGCTATTGTACACATTTTCATACGCCACGCTATTGTACACATTTTCAGCTCAAAATTATCAATATTATTATCATTTGACAATCAT